AAAAAAAAAAAGTAAAAATTTCAAAAGCAGTACAGCATAACAACTATTTACATACATCTACATTGTCTTAGGTGTTTTCAGTAATCGAGAGATGATTTGAAGTAGATGGGAGGATATTTGTGTGTTATATGCAAATGCTACAGTATTTTATACAAGGACTTACACATCCATGCATTTTGGTATTCATAGGAGGTCCTGGAAGCAGTCCCCCTCAGGATACTAAGGGACAACTGTATACACATGTGGAGATGGGGCTTTTGAAGTGAGAACTAAGCTTACAAGAATCAGGATGGTTTCTACTTAGCCTTATTAAGAACAGAATTAATTAAATAAAATTATGGAGATGAGCGTGGAAAGCTAGGGCAGGAGAAACTTCGTTTGAGCTCCATGTTTTATTTAATCCTACTCTGCTATAATGATTCTCACTATGGTTGACACCTGGAGTTTGCAAGGTAGTTCCTCCCAGTTTGATGCCCAGTCCTTTGGGGCCATCTTCCATCTTCCTCCTTTTGCTCCTCTCTGTTTGAAAATGGCTTAGTGAGCCACCGCTGCTGATAGATAATACATTTTAGCTTTGGAAAAACATGGAGGGTGAGCAGTGTGTAACACAGCACTGCAGCTGGATGACATCTTCTGGGCCCAAGGGCTCTTGGGAGCTGTCACCCACTGGGGGTCTGCTTTCACTTCCTGGCCTCGCTTCCTCCTCACTACCCCATTCCAGGGAACAGGTGTCTCCCCTGCCTGCTGTTTCACACAGAGACGCAGGTGTGCTGATCTTCACCTGTCCAGAGGTGCTGAGTCAATTGTCCTCTTGGTTGCTGCCAGGGTTTTCTCCCTGCCCCTTTAGTTGCCCTCCTGGTACCTCCCAGAGCTGCTCACTGGCTTTGCAGCCTGTGTTCTCCCTGCAGGCCCCCACCCTTACCCCCATCAGTTTCATCGGAACTATTTTTTCAGGAGTTTCTCAATTCTGATCCAGGCACAAGCAAGCACTCTTGGTTTCAAAAACTTGTTCTTTTTCCCCCTTCTCTCCCTTTTTGGCATTTTCCCCACTTCCCTTACCCCCTGTCATTTTGAGTTAATTTTAGCTGGGTGATGGATATCAGTATGCATTCTTAATTTACCATCTTAACCTAATTTTCTTTCTTAAAGAAATTAACCGTTAAACTTCTGGTCCAAATAATCTTGAGAGTTTACACAGAAACCTTCTCCTGCCAACACCAAAATTATAGCAGGGATAGATAAAATATTTTAAAATGTGAAAATCATGTCATCATACTCAAAAACAACATATTTAGACTGGGCATGGTGGCTCACAGCTGTAATCTCAGTACTTGGGAGGCTGAGGCTGGAGGATTGCTTGAAGCCAGGAGTCTGAGACCAGCCTGGGCAATATAGTGAGACCCATCTCTACCCAAAATTAGAAAAATACAACAACAACATATATAACTTCAAGGACCAGCAGTAAGCAAGGGCTGAAGTGACATATTTTGAGGGCTTTGGAATCAGACCAGGTGCCTGGAGGTGATTGGAAGTTCAACTCTTGCCGACTCATGGGGGCACTGGTGTATGGTTGGGGACTGGAGCCAAGCTCACCATGTGAAAACTGATTTGGGTGAGCCTTCTCTGTGAGTGCGGGCTTGCAATCAGTTTTTGGCCACCAACACTGAGCTAATGTCTGTGTTAATAGGAAGGGATAGAGACATTGGGCCTTGAGAAGACCAAAATCTGGGCTTCGGTAATGGAAATGACAACATAAACTAGTCATGGAAAGGTGGCCATCAGGAGAGGAAAAAATAAGCAATCATGTAAACCATAAAATGAACACTCCCTGCTAAGATGCACCTGCAAACTAACATGCACACCATCATCAGGAAGCATAGCAACAGACTCGTAAAGTGGGAGAGTGTGACAAAATGGGAACCGAGATACATTTTAAAACAATTGCACTTAAAATCTTTAAGGAGGTAAAATCACAAAACACGAATAAGTAGATTTGAAACTGTCAGAAATTGAAAAAGTGAAAGATGCAGCCAGTGAAAAACTTGCCTTTGCTTCGTTGGTTTAAAGAAAAAGAAATAATTAGTGAAAAGAAGCTTTTCAAACAATGCAAAAGAACTATGTGATATTCTAGAAAGTGGTGATAAGGCGAAAGATCAAAACAGATTATCTGTAAGATCCCAGCAAGTAGCATTTTAATACAGATTGTGCCTGCTTTTTATGCATATAGTTTTTTTGTACAAATATAGAATCATACTCTGGACTTTTATAACTTTTTCGTTAACATAAATTTTTTTTTAAATCAGTAAGTCTTCTATACCCTCAAATCTATACTTGTGCATGGGCGTGTCATAATTTATTTAAACATTCTGCTATTTTAAGCTATTTTGGACATGCTGTAGTGAGCATCTTTAAATGTTATTTAAAAATATCTTTGACTACAAAAATAAAAATATTGAAAACATATAAAAACATAAAACAAAGATCACTAATTTCGTTGCAAAAAAATAAACTTTGTAGGTGTAACTGTGTGTGTGACTATAGGTGCATGTGTGTGTGCAATAGCCATTTTATTACACATTTTGTTTTGTAACCTCTTTTGTTACTTTGTGAATAGTTTTCTGTGTAAAATATAGAGTCATATCACCTATAGGGTGTTTAGTTCTCATTGTAAGCCTCTACACACATAATTAATTCCCATTGTATGACAATAAGTTGTATTTCACTATTATGAACAGTTCTATCAGTTATGGTTTGTAAGTAATGTTAAGGTTTTCTTAATACACACTTATGTTCACTTTCAACAGGTGTTTGCTTATGATCATTGTTTTTGGTCTATGGATGAATCTGTCAAAGAAAAGTATGCAGGTAATAGAATCCAGCATCCTGTCAGCTACTGATCATATAGAAGAGGTGTTCAGTATTTTTTCCTTTACACGATTGCTTGGCAAACCCCCCAAACTATGTGTTTCATCTGCTGTCACATCGCAATAACAATCATCAACACAGAAGATGACTTTGTGTGACCAAACATGGGGGTGGTTTTCCCTGCACCCCAAGCAGCAGACATTGGCTGAGCGTCCTCGAATTCAGTTCCGATGCTGTCTACCTGGGGACGGAGTCAGATCCACAGACTGAGGGCTCAGTCCCACAAGACCGCTCCTTCCTTCCCACCAGCGCAGGTCCAGGCCTCTAGAACTTCTGACCTACTGGCTTCCAGTTAGGGTTCCCACAACCTCCTCTTCTGGTTTGATTAATTTGCTAGAGCAGCTCGCAGAACTCAGGGAAACACTCATGTTTAGGGGTTTATTACAAGGGATTTTCTTTAAAGGACACAGGTAAACAGCCAGATGAAGAGATACAGAGGGTGAGGTCTGGAAGGGTCCCAAGTGCCGGAGCTTCTGTCCCCGTGGAGGTGGTGTGGCACCTTCTCGGTGTGTTGGATGAGTTCTTCCTGTTGGGCCCTGTGTGTTCAGCAATCCAGAAGCTCTCTGAACTCTGTCCTTTTAGGTTTTTATGGAGACTTCCTTACATAGGCATGATGGTCAACTGATTAGAAATGTGATTAGACATAAAGCGCATGATCTGAACACAGTGTGTCCTGTCTGTTCAACTTTTCTTGGCCATTGTGTGTAGCATTCCTTCCTCTAGGATATGAGGCAGGACCTGTGGAATGAGAAGCTCTAGACCCACAATCAGAGGAGAATCTTGCCTCGGGCAGGTAGAAGGAGGGTAGGAGATCAGATCGTTTCCTGAGGCCTAAAGTGCCCCAGCAATGTAAAAGACTGCAACAAGGGTTAATGAGCCAGGAACTGTGGATGGTAACCTATATCTGTATATTTACCATAGGATATATATGAGTACCATAGCATTATTTTGCATAACTTTAGAAAGTACAGACAACACCCTCCCGTGTTTGCTATTAGAGTTTTTAATGTTGATTGGAAAATGGGAGACTCACGATGTGCCATTCTTGGTATATGTTGATGAAATTATATGACTAGTGCACACAGTGGCTATTCCACACTCACAATCCCCAGCTCTTACATGAGGCTGGGAGCGCAAGGTTGCTCCTTAGATTGCCCTGGAGGCCTGAGATTGGCTGGGAGAGACAGGAAGGCATACTGAAAGAAGGGGAGCACCGGCCAAGGAGAAAAGGAACCCTAGGCCCACCTCACCTGTCAGAGCTTCAGTTTTCTCTCTTTGATGGAGAGGAAGATACCATATTCTCTCTAAATTTTCTTTTGGCTCTGGAAGTCTGTTAATCTCTTCTAAATGATGACTGTCTCTAGCCCCATCTCACCACAAGTTTAGGACTACAGAGACAGCCTTTGATTGCCTTTATTCCTAACTGCTTTTGTCACCTGTTTTTAAACAATCTCTTTTAAATATTAAGCATCATATTGTTTTGCTTCTGTTATGAGAAAGATGAATATTATGGCTGTTTGGAAGTTAAGATTCATTTGGTCTAGGTGGCCCAATATCAGAAGTATAAATTAACTGGTATTAAAAAAAAAAAAAAAAGAAGAGACATAATGGAATACCCTTGCCATAACATAAAAGCATCCAGTTCTTCCATATGGTATTGAGACTGAGGTAGGGTGACTTGTCAGATTCACATTCGATTACTGACTATTGACATATCTCATTTGGCCTGTGGGGGGAAATGACATATCTCATTTATCTCCATGGACATAAACTTGACTCTGTGGTTTATGTCCATGATGAAAACTGGGGGAAATTTCCAGGCTCTGACTCCCTGTCCTAACTGGTATGTAGTATAGATCCTGTAATTAGAAATTGTCACTGAGGGAAAGGAGAGGGGGTTGATATATATGATTGTTCTAAACTCTGGTACCCACTGAATAAAAGCATTGGCTGAGTGGTAAATAGTTAAATCCAGGTACACCTGGGTTCCAAGTATAAATTTCAGATATTTATAATCATTGATTATAAAGTGAGCAGCTCATTGGCTCTGCATTGCAGGGGATTCTCAGTAGTGTTTATTTGTTCAAGTATGTAGTACAGGGAGCTGATTTTCCCTCATGTGCTAACTAGAAATAACCTGGAAGGCATAAGCCTTTGGGAACATTCATCAAATTTAAAAATCTTGTTTGGAGATAAATAAGCACATTATACGTTTTTGAGATTTTTGTTTTTGTTTTATGAATTGTTCATATGTAGTTTTGGCTTAAAATGTCTTTTCTCTTATTCTCTCTCTCTCAGGTCAAGATATTGTTTTCAAGTGCCTTGGGGAGAATATCCTGCAGAATGCTTTTGATGGCTACAATGCATGTATCTTTGCCTATGGACAGACTGGTAATGTTAAATAACATGGAATCACATAACCATCAATGAAGGAGAAAGTAGAACTGTGTGTATTTTACTGAATAGCATTGCTGATTTATTCCTTGTTATTTTTGCTTTCAGAAAGTATTGTAGATGTTGAAAGTAGTCAATAACATTATTTTAGAATGAATGTGATAAAAATTAGGATTGGGATCTTTTATCTTTACTGATTTTTCTCACAAGGCACTAGCAGGGTTGTTTTTAAAAAAAATACAGAGCTATGACCATTGAACATATTACTAGCCATGCCTATAGATCATGCTTTTTTAAGGCTTTCAGAATCTTAACAGAGAAAATACCAAAAAGAATGTACTTCTTAATGTCTCTCCAGTAATAACTAATAAGCTTTTTGGCTTTTGCATCTCTGTGGTCAAGAAAAGAAAATCTATTTGAAGTGAACTTGTTACTTTTATAAGAGTAAAGCGTACAGCTTGTCCAGCTAGAAATGTTCTCACCAAAGAATGTGTCAGATGTTTTCAAGAAGCCTCGTGTCGTGTTGAAAGGGCAGAAAGCTGGGGTCAAGTGGCGACAGCTCCAGTGCTGCTCCTGCAGCTGGCCAGTGGACCTGGGCAGTTACTTAACCTCTCTGCCCTTTAGTGTCCTTACCTGGAAAGGCTGATGATCATAGACCTTCTTGTAGGGTTGTCATAACGAGTTCCCATGTGCAGACTTTTTACAGAAGTCCTGGTACTTAGAAAATGTGGCACATTAGCTTTAGGTATTATGATAACAATAAAATGTTGTGTGACAAAAGCAGCAACTTGTAGGTTAAAAGCATGTTTGCAAAAACACTGATACTAAAAACGGAATTATACTTAAGTGTCGGTAGTTACTTGTTTTTGGACAGTAGGACTATGGTAATTTAAGTTTTTTCTTTCTATTTTCCTATGTTTTCTAAATTTTATTTAATATGTATTTCTTTTACAAAGGAGAAAATGCATTTTTTTTTTCCCTGAGACGGAGTCTCGCTCTGTTGCCCAGGCTGGAGGGCACTGGCACAATCTCTGCTCATTGCAGCCTCTGCCTCCTAGGTTCAAGTGATTCTCCTGCCTCAGCCTCCTGAGTAGCCGGGATTACAGGTGCCTGCCATTGTGTCTGGTTAATTTTTTTGGTATTTTTAGTAGAGATGGAGTTTCACCATGTTGGCCAGGCTGGTCTCAAACTCCTGACCTCAGGTGATCCCCCCACCTTGGCCTCCCAAAGTGCTGTGATTACAGGCGTGAGCCACCACGTCCAGCCGAGAAAATAATTTTATATAAGAAAAAAATAAGATTATTCTTTAGTTTCCATACTAGAGTGAAAGGGTAGTGAGTTAATTTGCTCTGGGGTCTGCAGGGAGAACCTATTTTTTTTGTGCTGTGATCACTGGTTGGGAGCAGGCACAATAATATTAATTATATGGCTCTTCCAGCTTATTTCAGAAAACTTTTAGACCTCACTATTTCTCAGTTGTTTTAGGTATTTTCTAAAAGTATGAGGATGATTAAAGAAGTTTCTTTTTCTTTTTCTTTTCTTTTGGAGATGAAGTCTCACTCTGTAGCCCAAGCAGGACTGTCGTGGCGCGATCTTGGCTCACTGCAACCTCCGCCTCCCGGGTTCAAGCAATTCTGCCTCAGCCTCCCGAGTAGCTGGGACTACAAGCACACGCTGCCACACCAGGCTAATTTTTTTTTGTTTGTTTGTATTTTAGTAGAGATGGGGTTTCACCTTGTTGCCCAGGCTGGTCTTGAACTCCTGAGCTCAGGCAATCTGCCCGCCTCAGCCTCCCAAAGTGCTGGGATTACAGGCATGAGTCACTGTGCCCCGCCTATTTTTCTTTCTAAAGGACATTTGCTTTTCACTTTCTCATGTGCAGTAAGAAAGCTTGTGTACTTATTATTCTCATATTTGGATGTATTTTTCATTGCATTTTTCTAAGTGTTTATAATTTATTATGAGCAACAGAAAGAGGGTTATATATTTAACTTCTCAAAGAGACAATAGTAACTTTTATTTCCTTGTTTTTAGGATCTGGAAAATCTTACACCATGATGGGCACAGCTGACCAACCTGGATTAATCCCAAGACTTTGCAGTGGACTCTTTGAACGAACTCAGAAAGAGGAAAATGAAGAACAGAGTTTTAAAGTAGAAGTGTCCTACATGGAAATTTATAATGAAAAAGTTCGAGACCTCCTTGATCCCAAAGGGTAAACGAATTTGAGACTTTAGTGTTTCAGCATTGGGAACTGAAGCAGACTTAAATTGGCTTAAGTACAAATCTTACTTTTTAACTTTTTAAGAGGGTCTCGCTCTGTCACATAGGCTTCAGTGCAGTGACATGATCATAGCTTACTGTAGCCTTGAACTCCTGGGCTCAAGAGTTTTTTTTTAATCAAGAAATTTCAGGTGGAATTCAGCTCTTTGCGGGCTGTGAGGTGAGGGAGAGGCATTATCAGAGCGATGAAACCTGGTCTTTAGGACAGTGAATTTTTAAAGATTCTCAGGAACAAAAAAAAGTGCCCATGATTGCATGGCACAGACTTGGAAAGAGAATTGGGTCAGAAGTCTTGGGAGGCCTTCACAGATGCTGGTTTGACACTGCAGCTGTAACTGAGTGAGGAAAGTGCGAGGTATCTAGAAATCTATTCCTTCCACAGAGAGTTCTTTGAGTTCAGATTTTAAGGAAGCGTGACAGTGGAGAGAGATGGAGATAATGACCACAGCCTGTGGCTTGTTGATGTAAAAACAATATTAGGAAGGTCAAAGAGCCAAATAAGCTGAGGCCTACAGAAAGTTTGGAGGACAACAAGAGGACATTTAGTTTTGCCGGATGAGGAAGATGATCAAGGAAAAGAGAATCTTAGAGGCAGTGAATCTTAGTGACTCTCAGTCAAGAGCAAACAGAACCCTCAGCTCTTCTCTGTTGTCAGTTTTCCTTGACCAAGATGGTAATCTTCAGGGTTCTCTCAGGGAGATTGAATTCATGCTCAGTGCTTCTATACAAACTTAACAAACATTTATTGAGTGATCATTGTATGCCAGGCACTATGCAAGAGCTCACAATGTGGACAGAATGAGAGTTTTGTAAACAAATAATTAAAATACAAGGCAGTCTGCTTTTAACTTGTGAAAGAGGCTCCTACAAATTAGGCAGCAAAGAGACAATGACTGATCTTGCCCTGAGGAGAAGGGAAGATTCCACCGAGTGTACTTGCTTGATAACTTTTGTGCTGAGTGGGAAGTTTGTTCACTGGGAAGTTGGGTAAGAACTACTCAGGCGTAGGGAACAGCCTCTGCCACACCTTGAAGGTGTAAATTAATCATTAAATGTAAATCTCCTTTGGAGAATGATCCAGCAGTTCAGTGTGGTCAGAGAGTAGGATGCACAGAAGTCAACATGGAATGAAAGGAGGCCAAGGTTGAGCTTGAGCCCAGGAGTTTGAGGCTTCAGTGAGCCAAGATCGTGCCACTGCACCCCAGCCTGGGTGACAGGATGAGAGATTCATCCTGTCTCAAAAGAAATTAAAAGTAAAAACTGTTCCAAAACAAAGAGGCCAGAGAGTACCTTATGGCCCAGGTACCCACATCCTACTTAATATTATACCCCTGTATATATATATATTTTGTTCTGCTTTGAATACTTTCTCTTAGACTTTGACCTCTGCAAAGATCATCACTTTTCTGAGATCCAGCCCGGACTTACTCCTTCCAGAAATTCTTAGCTGACTGACTTCATACCTGTTCGTTCTTCTGCTTAATCCAGGGTGCTTGTATGGCATCTTTTCAACTTAACTGCACATGTACAGTCTTTAGTAATTTCTCCTGTGTTTGTCTTGGGTATAGTAATTAACAGCTTACTTACAGTAATTAATTAACAGTGAATTCCGAAGAGGTTCGAATTTGCGTAGCTCCAGATCTAGGTCCTCTACTTGTTACCTATTGAGCATGTTTCTTACGCTTTCTAGGCCTAACTTGTGGGCCTAGAGGGAACTTGAAGAGGGAAATGATAGGATACAGTTATCTCAGAGGGCTGTTGTGACGATAGACTGGGATGATACACCTGAGGTCTTAGAACATTTGCTGGCATACAGTAAGTACTCAATAAGTGGTAGCTGCTGCTGTTATCTCCCCAGTGAAAATTTCTTGGAAATTTTTTTTTTTTTTAGTTTCTGAAGATTCAAAGTAAATGGATTAAAATCTCTAAAGGTGAATTTTGGTCAAAGACCATTTGAGAAAACTTCATTTTTTATTCACGTACTAATTATATTCAGCATCTAGTATGTAGTAATGTAATTATGTTGTTTTACTCAGGAGATAATAGAGGATACATTAAGAAAAAAGGAAATATGAAAGGAAAAAAGTGAATAATAGAATATATCCTGGGGTGAGAAGTAAATCAAATACTCTATATCTACTTTATCCAGTTACATGGTAATAAGCGACATTTTTTTTTGTGGTTGATCCTAGGGTACTATAGATTTTAGATTTAAGAGTCATTTCCTTATCCCCTGATTTTACTGTTTATATGAAGGGTTATTCTAGAACTATCCTTTTCTTGCTTTCTTTATTATGGGTATTAGTGATTGAATGCGGTTCAGCTTCCATGCTAGTCATTCACTGTATGTGTTCAACATTTCTTCCCTTCCTCTCCTGCCTTCTTAGTTACTAGCACTCCCTCTCCAAATGATGGAAGCTAACATTTGAAGTCCTCTCTGTCACCTTAATCTCTCTCATCTTCACTTTGTTAGTGAAGTCTGTTCATTCATCTAGTGATTCTTATGTGACAGGACTTGTGCTAGGAACTGCAGACTCCCAAAGTAATTAGACATTATTCTTGCTATTCTAGAGCCCAAAGTTTATTATAATACAAATGGATAAAAGTAAATTAATTCCTGCCTAAGGCGAGGATAAGGAGAGCTGACTAAGAGGTAGTCAAGAGCAGATTATAAAGGAGCATACGTATCAAGCTGAGGAGTGTGCACCTCTCTTCATAGGCATCAAAGAACCACCAAAAAACTTGAAACATTGGTTGGGCATGGTGGCTCATGCCTGTAATCCCAGCACTTTGGGAGGCCGAGGCAGGCGGATCACTTCAGGTCAGGAGTTTGAGACCAGCCTGGCCAACATGATGAAACCCTGTGTCTACTAAAAATACAGAAATGAGCTGGGTGTGGTGATGTGCACCTGTAATCCCAGTTATTCAGGAGGCTGAGGCAGGAGAACTGCTTGAACCCGGGAGGCAGAGGTTGCAGCAAGCTGAAATCCTGGCACTGCGCTCCAGCCTGGGTGATAGAGCAAGACTCCATTTGAAAACAAAAACAAAAACAAAAAAACTTAAGTATTATAATTTATTACTTTTTAAAAAAAGATTTTGTGTAGTTCAAAAATGGACACACATTCGTGGTATAAAATAAGGAAAAAAATATAAAATGAAACTTTTTAAAAAAAGATTTTGTGTAGTTCAAAAATGGACACACATTCGTGGTATAAAATAAGGAAAAAAATATAAAATGAAAATCACCAGTAACCTCATCATTAACACTCTTTTTTATAATTTAATTTTTAATTGACAAATGAGACTTGTATATGTTTATGGAGTACAGTGTGTTTTGATCATGTATATATTATGGAATGATTATATCAAGCTAATTAACATATCCGTCACCTCACTTACCATTTTTTTTTTTATGGTGCAAACATTTAAAATCTACTCTCGGCAATTTTGAAACACACACTATGTTACTGACTATAGTCACCATGCTGTGCAATAGATCTCAAGAACTTACTCCTCCTTACGGAAACTTTGTACCCTTTGACTAACACCTCAACAAATATTCTTAATATTTTTGGTTTATATTATTAACTATGCTATCTGTGCTCTACAGTTTTCTCAGATGTCCTTTACTGGGTTTATTAGTTCCTTGTTTGCTAAGAGGGTTTTTAAAAAAAAAAAAAAACTTACGAATATTTAATTTTAATTTTATTGAATCTTTTTTCATGCATTTATTGAAATGATCGTACTTCCTTCCTCTGCCCCCTTAGGCTGTCAATGTGATTAAAGTGCGAGTATCTTTTTTCCAGTGGTCGATAGCCTAGAAGCCCTGAGATAAGCCCAATTTTGTATTTTGAAATCATTAGATTCAGTTTATTGTCTTTTGTTTGTCTTTCTTCATGACAGACTGGTCTGTAGTTTTCCTTTCTTGCACAGTTAACATTTACTGAGTTTCTGCTGTTTGTACCACATTCTGTGTAAGACAAATAGATTGTTCATATTTATTTGACTCTGCATTCTTTGTAGTAGCAAATAGACATCCCACAATGTACCCTTTGAGTGATGTGATATTTATTCACATTATGAAGTTTTCTTCACAGTGAAGATTTTAAAGTTTGGTTTAAATTCTTCTGGGATCAAGTCGGTTGGTTTTATTTATTTGGGGTCTTTCTTGAACTCATTGTATATTTTTATGGAGCAGAGCTGAGTCCTTTTAAAAAATAGGCTATTGTTAAAAAATCATTTCTTTGTTTTTCATGAACAGAAGCCGTCAGACGTTGAAAGTCAGAGAGCATAGTGTGTTGGGGCCTTATGTCGATGGACTTTCTAAACTGGCTGTCACAAGCTACAAGGTAACAACATCCTGTATGTGAACTACTTAAATTTAGTGTAGTAGGGTGGGCTCTCTTTCTTGGCTTACTTTGTTGTTTTTTAAAATTGCATATATAATAGCATCACTTAATAAATCCCTTTTTACAAAAATCCTAAAAATGAGGTAGTTGATCAGAGACCAGTGAATAAATATAGACTAAATAGGATGAGGCTTTTAAATGAAAAGTTATCAGACTTAGTGAATCTAAAGTGGGTTTGAATCAATCTAGAAAATTGTGAATTTTATCTTTTGTTGTTGTTTTCCCATTCTGGGGCCCACTTATACTTCCTTTTGCAGTTAATGTTTTTACTTTAAGGCTTTTTATGTATTGTGTTGAACTTTTTCTTAAACATTATTCTTTTAATAGTAAATTGTGATTTTCAGTTTTTGGTGATGTGTGTCAGTTAGGATTGTGTTCAGTTGCACATAACATTAAAAAAATGTAACAGTTCTTTGAAACATGGATTATTACCTGTTTTGTCCATTATATATTCTCAGTGTTTGAAAAGTACCTTCCCTATGGTAGGTGCTTTCAGTATACATTTGAAAGTATGAATGAATGAATGATGATTGAAACAAGACTTTTAATGGAAAAGAAATATGGAGGTAGACTCTCCAGGGCAAGTATAGTGGCCCCAAATGTGTTATTAGGGACCTAGATTCCTTCCAGTGGTCAACATAGAGCGGTGTGGTAATGTCCTTATTCCCATAGTTCAAGATGGCTCTTAGAACCAACACGTGATAGCATGCCTACTCGCTGAAGGAGAATTCCCAGATGGCCTATTTTAATTTTAAATCTCATTCACTGAAGTGTCATGTGGCCAGAGTGAGCTGCAAGGGCATCTGGGAAATGTAGTCTCTTAGCTTGGCCATATGTGCCAAGTGGAAGATTGGGTTGTCTTACTGGAACGAAGTGAAGACTGGGTAATAGGAAGCATCTAGTCAACTTTCACACATACCATTTTTCTCACTCCTCATTAAGATCCTTGTAAGGCAGATGGGTATCATAGCTCTGCATTGCTGTTAATGCAATTAAAATCCAGGTTGGCTGTTTTAGAGCTTATAACATTAAAAAAAAAAAAAATCCGTTGACCTTCCTATTGTATTTTGTTGTTTCTCTTTTTTAGTAGTAGTAGCAACCAAGTGGTAAATCAATGCAGAAAATTAGTCTCTTGACGTTCTAATTTTTAAAAACAGGTCTGCCAAGTTAATGGGTGCAGCACACCAACATGGCACGTATATACATATGTAACAAACTGGCACGTTCTGCACATGTACCCTAGAAATTAAAGTATAATAAAAATAAAATAAAAAACAGATCTGCTAAGATAGTGGTAGTCGGTGATATGCCTGGATGAAAGGAGAAATAACACAAATTATTTATTTGTGCTGCTTATTTGTATAATCTGATTTGTTTCAACAATAAATTTGTATTGCTTTCTGTATTAAGGAAACTAAGTTTTTTCAAATTTCTGTATTAGATGAGGGTTGGCATGGCATACTTATTCATCTTGTATGACCAAAGATGTAGCTTCTGAACTTTGAGTCAAAGCTGCCACCTCTGTACCTGTAGCAAATGATCTACTTTAAGTTTTCAGAGATGGTATTGGCTATTGTACTCCATGGGGCTCAGTGTTCATTGAGAAACAAGAATGTTAACCCCAAATGTTGTTGACTAAGTAGCAAAACTTGTAATGCATTTTGTAGTGTAGCAGGGTTTTAGTGTGTATTACACAAGTAAAGAAATGTGGGTCTATGATTTGTTTCCACTTAGGATATCGAGTCGTTGATGTCTGAGGGTAACAAATCTCGCACAGTTGCTGCAACCAACATGAACGAGGAGAGTAGCCGATCCCATGCAGTTTTCAAAATCACCCTCACACATACTCTCTACGATGTGAAGTCTGGGGTAGGTGTTCAGATGCATGACCTGTTTTTATATTTCTAAAGTGGATTGTGGTTTTTTTTCCTCTACAGGTGTTAGATGAATTAAAGTCCTGGCTAGACTTGTGTATCAGTGAGGACTCTGGACAAGAAACAGAAGCCACTCTAGGTCAATAGAAAGGGATGTCATGTAGGGAAGCAGGTGATTCCAGGCTTGTTGGGACATCTAAGGAGGACCAGGTTCTAGACTGCCTTTTGAGGAATAACTTTCTGAACAGCACACATCTGGCCATCGGGGTGGTGCCACCTCTGAGGACACCTCTAGAACGCTGAGTTCCAGGCATACCCATAGCTGTGATCCAGGAAGCAGGAATAGAGAAGTTGCTTCTGTCCATGCTGCTGCCTCATAGCATCCTGGAACCTGGAGAATGTGCTTGCATTTCCCTAGTCCCACTGCCAGCAGAAAGAGCCAGAAAGTGGCAGCAGGCGGCCTATGCTCTACTTCTGCTTTTCAGCCTCTAGCAGGTGTGTCCTGAGCCTGGGCTGCCAGGGAGTCTGAGAAGTGTGGGTTTAAGCTTTCCACCCACTCCCACTAAAGGAAGGTGGAGCAGAAGTTAAGTAGACCAGTGGCCCACTGTCTGCCCCAGCAGTTTTTGAGTTTTAAACTGTGATGGCTAACTGAGTAAGCCAATGGTAATGCTCTTGCTTGCCCAGGCACTGTGCCTCACACCTGTAATCCCAGCACTTTGGGAGACCAAGGCCGGAGGATTGCTTGAGCCCAGGAGTTGGAGAACAGCCGGGTAACATAATAAGACTCCATTTCTACAGAATATTTGAAAATTAGCAAGGTGTGGGTGGTTCATGCCCATAGACCTAGTGACTAGGGAGGCTGAGGTGGGAGGATGAGTTGAGCCCAGGAACTTGAGACTGCAGTGAGCTATGATTGCCCCACTGCACTGGGCAACAGAGCTAGACCCTGTCTCAAAAAAACAAAACAAAACAAAACTTCTAGCTGATTTAGCAGAGGTTCTTTTGCAGTGTTGCCTTCTGTGAAACACTGTTAGAAGGAATAAATGACAATGGGGAAATTGTACTATAAAATCACTCTCTTTTGTAGAATAACTTTTTGAGTGTTTGATTTTGAATCTTGTGAAGAGTAAACCCAGTCAGAGATACATGTGCTTCTGCTGCGTTGCAGACTTGTCTGTTGCCTAGTATATTTGCGTCTTCCCTCTTTTAATGTGAATTTTACATATTTTATTATGATGCCTACCCCCTAGTGTGTCCATTTCAAATACCAGAAGGTAAAATAATCACCCTGGCAAAGTGCTATACTTTGGCAGGATTTTCATCTGCTGAAAGCATATTTTTCTCCTTTTACCATCACAGCAAGATTAGTGTAACAACAAAAAGTTCTTTGTTTCTTATTTCCTTTTCAACATAAAACAAAAAACATACTGAGGACTTTTTTTTTTTTTTTTAAACTAAAAGTGCTTTTGATTTGGGATGCTGAATATCCTTTTGTTAACAGCATGTTTATTTATGGAAATATCTATTTTAAAGGAAGGCTTTAAAAATGATTCAGTCTGTAGATTTTGGTATTGGTTTCCTGCATTTCTTGTATTGCTATTGAAGTACAAAGTATGTTACATGTATGTGCTTGATAAGAAAACACTTTTGATAAAGATATCTTTGTATCTGTATGTATATAATATCTTAACTAGAAAAAGATATAAATCTAACACCCGACATGAAATGGAATTATATATGAATAAGATGTAAATGTTACAAAATGTTTTGAGATTTTGAGGGATTCTTCTATTGTATAAAGGTCAGGTTTTTTTTAATGTCAGAATTGCAAGTGTTTTGTCTCAGGATTATTGATAAATATCCATGAAATTTTAAACACAGTTTCCAGTAATAGTAAAATTTAACTCTTAGAAGTACTTTTGTATACTACTCTGGAAATTTCCTTGGGCACCCTTCAAAATGGCTCATTTTGGAGGCACTGTTTTTCTGAGATAATTAGCTTTCATACTGGCTGGATTAGTAGTTTTATAAATTTTCTTTGTCTCCATCATTAGATTGTACAGTTTTCTTACAGTGTGTTATAGCAGCACAAAATAATTTTGAAGTAACGGTAAATACTTTTAATAAAGGGTTTAGATCATAAATTCATTTAGTTGTGACAGAACTGCTTTTTGTATTGCTTTTTAAGAGACAGGATCTCACTCTGTCGCTCAGGTTGGAATGCAGAGGTGCAGTCATAGCTCACTGTGGCCTGGAACTTCTGGGCTCAAGTGATCTCCCACCTCAGTTTCCCAAGTAGCTGGGACTATAGGCACGCACCAGCATGGCCAGCTATTTTTTTTTTTTTTTAAATTTTTTGTGTAGACAGGATTTTGCTGTGTTGCCCAGGCTGTTCTTGAAATCCTGGGCTCAGGTGATCCCCATTCCTTGTCCTCCCAAAGTGCTGGGATTACTGGCATGAACCACCACAACTGGCCTTGTGTTCCTGTTTATTAGCATTGATTGATTTCCTTTGTAGACATCTGGAGAGAAAGTGGGCAAACTGAGCCTGGTGGATTTAGCTGGCAGTGAACGAGCAACGAAGACGGGCGCTGCAGGGGACAGGCTGAAGGAAGGGAGCAACATTAACAAGTAAGTGCTCTCAAGCTTATTTGTATTGCTTTATTGATTTAATAGCCAATGAGGGAACATCTTTGGTTATTAAAATAATAAGGTGATTTGGAATTTTTTTCTGGTATTTTCAATGGCCCTGGGCTCATTTGAGCTTTTGTTGGGATGCCTGATGGGGCGAAAGAGCACAGCCTCAGGTCAGGGTTTCTCAGCAGTGGCCCTGTTGCTGTTTTGGGTCAGGTAATTCTTTTCATGGGAAGGGTGATCCTGTGCTTTGTAGAGTGTCTAGCTGCATCCCTGGCTTCTCCCCACTAGATGGCGATAGTAGCTGCCACCTCTTCCCCCACCCCTAGGTGTGTCAACCCAAACTCACTTTCAATATCCATGGCTGTTCCTTATGGGGACACAGTCACCCTCCAGTTGAGAACCACTGGTTTAGCTATAGAGAAGATCAAAGATAACTGGTCTCTCAGAGTGGAGCTGTTGAAACTTGACCTGTGTGTTGCTCTTTGGACAAACATGTACTAACCACATTGAGCTTTTCCTTTACTAGACACTGTCGTGCTTGTCCAAGTCCAAGAAGCTAAGACTTTACCAAGTAATATTTTGTTCACCAGTTCCTTCATGTGGGCTCATTTTAGGTTTTGTTGAGATGCCTGATGGGGCCGAAGAGCACAGACTCAGTCAGGTCGGGGTTTCTCAGCAGTGGCCCTATTGCTGTTTTGGGTCAGGTAATTCTTTTCATGGAAGGGGTGATCCTGTGCTATGAATAATACGAAGTAATATTTTGTTTACCAGTTCCTTCATATGGGCTTCAAATTTTCTCCCTCAAGCCGAATCGTTAGCTCATTATGGGTAGGAAGCTTTTCTGTCCTTGTGGCTCCCAGAAGGACACATAGGAGTCATAAACCAAATGGAGATGATAGAACACCATCACCCAGATGCTATCCTATTATTGAATCTCATATATACAATTTTTGCTTTGTACTATGGTTTAATTACTGTGTTTCTGGCTTTCTTTCTTAGAGATATGTGGTTTTGGTATTATATTGACCTGAAGATTTATAGCTCACATTTTTATGTACTACAAAATACCGGGCTAAGCATTTTTATTGCTTGTAGTAGTATTGGGGAAAATAGCTATTTCGAGTTGTGTGCTTTTGAACTGAGCAGCAAAATGCTGACAGGGTGCTGCTCACATGCAGGTACAAGGGCATCTTGGTGTTCAATCTTTGTGCTAAAATGTGACATTTGATATATTGTTGTACCATGCAGGTCCCTCACAACCCTCGGTCTGGTTATCTCAGCTCTTGCAGATCAGAGTGCTGGCAAAAACAAGAATAAATTTGTTCCATATCGTGACTCAGTTCTCACTTGGCTGCTCAAAGTAAGTTTGTTTGTTTTCTTCATGGCAAACTTTTGGTGGTTGGCAAGAAGGAAGGAAAAAAGAGTAGACTGTTAATCCCTTCCAGGTATCATTTCCTCCATCAGTGTGCAAATGTATAATTATTAGACTCTTATGGTAATGACATTTTTGATGGAATAAACATAGGTTTTTTTCCCTAGCAATTCACATTCCAGCTTACTAGAACCTGAATGCAGTGAGGTTGCTGGACGCGCACAGAATCACAGGATTGCTTCTGGAGATTTGGGGGAGTAGAGAAAGGGCCTTCTGCTAATCTGACCGCTGTGTGAATCATGGAGGAGGAGCCTCCGCTGCCCTCACACTCAAGTGGGCCACCCTGGCCTACCACAGACTCCTTTTCTTGGGCTAACATTTTGGAGCTTGTTTTCTGTTTAACTTCAGGGCATTCAGACCTTGGTTTCTGTTTAGCTTTACTCATGATGGCTTTAATTTGCTTTTGGCTTCTTAAAGGTGTTGTTAAAGGCTGTAGAGTAGGGCACACAGTCATTCATTAATTGATTGATTCTGTATGAACAAGAGCAATGGAAGTGAGAAAGAAGAAAGTCAATGTGCAGTGGTAGGAGGAGAACGTAGCCTCCATTTTAAAACAGAGGAAAACAGAGGGCACTTCTTGCCCTCTGTGGCTCATGAGGGAGATAAGATGTGCACACACAATATTAGAACCTGAATTTGTGATAGATCATGACACAGATGGTGATAACATGTAATAGGAATTTGGTGAAAAAAGAGAGACTGATTTCCAGCTTCCTCCAGCCCTCCAGAGCCCCTTTAGTCTTCATAAGGTGGTGTGGTGAGTTGGATATTGGACTGGGAATTAGAGGATATAAGTTGCAGTGACAATTTAACCCATTTATAGGGGTGTCACCTGACTAAATCCTTTAATACTCTTTTATTTTTCTATTTTTAAAATGGAGAAATAATTTTATGTGCCCTGTTTAATTTTGTGATGCTCTATTTTCTTATTGATCAAGAATTTGTTGAACACCTGGCATGCATTGCATTGGGGGTTGAAAGTACTAAGATGAGTTCAACACGGGCCGCCCCAGTAGCTTAGTAGAGGACATAATTACTGATTTAGTCCATAGCATGTTTAGAAAACAGCCTTTGTGAAATGAATTAGGGGTTTCTCCTGGTTTCTACCTCCTCTCAAGATTTACCAGTGTTCAGCTTTTTAATTCAAAACTCCGCACACTGTTTATGTTTTGTTAAAATAAAACATTCTTTATGTAAATGTCAGTGCGTTCTTTCTTAAATGTAATGCTAAAATTCAATAAATTGGCCACAGTAGAAAATCAGGTCCATTACTTCCTTTGGCCAAAATGCAGTACTGTTAGAAATTTAAACAAAAGTGTAAACAAATTTTGATAATTAAAACCACTTGTAAAGGTTTGTCATGCAACCTCGCAAACATCAGATAGTAAGAGATAATTTTTAGGAACAAAATTAAAGCACCTTGGCCTGCCGTAAAGACAATTCTAACCTTTAGTCTTTTAAAGTAGTAAATTATTATTCAGATTTTGTTATTTGAATCACTGATGTCAGCCTATATAACTAAACACCTCAGTGCTTTTAACCAAAAAAAAAAATTTGCTTTTCCTTCCTGTCTCAAACAGCATAAGCACTTCTACTTCTGTAAGACTAACAGAAATGTTTTGTAGTTTTTTTCTGTAGAATAATTAGAAAAACAAGCAAACTGCAAAATTCAAGACTTTGGAGGATGAATATAATTATTCTTTTTCATAAAAGCCATTAAAATTAGTGAATAAACTTGCAGTTATATAGGATACTAAGTCTGGATATCTAATGAGCAGTATAAGGACTATAGTTAATAACATTGTATCGTATACAAAAAAAAAATTTTGCTATATTTTAGGTGTGCTTCTCACAAAAGGTAACCATGTAAGGTGATGGATGTATTCATTTGTTTGTAGTAATCAATGATATTAGTATGTTTACATATATCAAACATGCTTTATACCTTAAACATATGTATTAAAAATTTTTTTTTAATTGTTTCATTACCAAAGGAACTTTTTTTTTTTTTTTTGAGACAGAGCCTTGCTCTGTTACCCAGGCTGGAGTGTAGTGCTGCAGTCTCAGCCCACTGCAACCTCCACCTCCTGGTTCAAGTGATTCTTCTGCTTCAGCCTCCCGAGTAGGATTACAGGTGCGCACTGCCACACCTGGCTAATTTTTTTACTTTTAGTAGAGACAGGGTTTTGCCATGTTGACCAGGCTGGTCTTGAACTCCTGATCTCAAGTGATCCATGCACCTCAGCCTCCCAAAGTGCTGGGATTACAGGCATGAGCCACCGCAACTGGTCAGGAATTTTTTTTTTTTAATATATAAGAAGTATTTTTTCTTTTTTTTTTTTTTTTTTGAGACAGGGGGTCTCTGTTGTCCAGGCTAGAGTGCAGTTGTGCAGTCATAACTCACTACAGTCTAGAACTCCTGGACTCAAGTGATCCTCCCACATCAGCCTCCTTGAGTAGTTGGGACTACAGGTATGCACCACGATATGTAGCATTTTTTTTTTTTTTAATTTTTAGTAGAGATGAGGTCTCACTATGTTGCCCAGGCTGGTCTTGAACTCCTGGCCTTAAGCATCCTCCTGCCTTGGCCTCCCAAACTGCCAGGATTACAGTTGTGAGTCACCATGCCTGTCCTCTAGAAGAAATCTTGATAAGATGCTTCCTTAAACTTTCCACAGAAACATTTCCTGATCATACATTGTCCTTGTTTCAGTGTTGCTACTTGAGTCCACTTAAAACAACAAGTATCTTTTGTTGGTCCGACATGGAGGCTAACGCCTGTAATCCCAACACTTTGGGAGGCCGAGGCGGGAGGATCAGCTGAGGTCAGGAGTTTGAGACCAGCCTGACCAACATGGTGAAATCCTGCCTGTACTAAAAATACAAAAATTGGCTGGGTGTGGTGGTGTGTGCCTGTAATGCCAGCTACTCGGGAGGCTGAGGCAGGAGAATCGCTTGAACCCAAGAGGAGGAGGTTGCAGTGAGCCGATAACGTGCCACTGCACTCCAGCCTGGTGACAGAGTGGGACTCCCTCTCAAAAAAAAAAAAAAA